TTTTTATTGCATTCTCCATGAAATTCTATCTCTTTTCACTCCCCACAATTTCAACTAATTTTGAGTGAAAAGGCCATTTTACCCTTAATACAAGTTTAAGGCATTTTCTTCACATTCTCTCAAAATAACTTTAACCAAAATCAACTAAGGGCTATAAAAACATAAATTAAATTACATACCTCTGTGTGGGCGTTACAAGGTGTATGAACCTCTTCATCCTCCTCCTCCTTCTCCTTACCGCCAATTGGAGTTTCATCATCCTCGGCGTCAAGAACATTCTTAAGCAGTGGCCTTGCAACTGTTCTCACATGCATGACCCCTTCTAGGTCCTGCATTAGGCGGTCTATCCCTTCTTCTACTGCATCCTCCAATGCTTTGAACGATGTAACATACTCCTCTCTCGCTTCACCCCTAGTAGCAGTGAGGAAGGAACGAACGACTCCCTACAATAAAAAAAAAAAAATCAATCAAATTTAAGCCACATTTAAAATCAAGTGCATATTTAAAAGATTAATCCTTTAATCTTACGAATTTCTATGTCTATTTTGTCGTAATCCCAATGGGTATACTTCTCGATGTGCCACCGTAACATCCTAGGAAATTACGATTGCTCATCCGAAGTCTTCATCCTCCCCCCCCACCTTAGCTAGGACAGGGACGACCTCATACATCCAAGCCTACATTAGAAAAAAAACAATCATAATACAAAAAATATAACAAAAAGCTATTAATATTTACCTGCATTGCAAATGGGAAGCCAAACAAATTGTACGTGCTCAGTCTATTCTTCTCCACAGATTGGTACTACTTTAATGCCATGTCTTTTCCTTGCAGGGAGTCCTTGGTTAGCTGAAATGATACCCATCCCCACAAATAAGCATTAAAGAAGTCCATGTTGCTTGCAAACTTCACCCAATCCATATTAACGACTTTTGTTGAGTTAGAAGCCATTAGGATGGAATGCACGAACCATACCAGGCACATCTTGAACCTTTCTAAAGAGGTATACCCACCTTCTCCTAAACTCTCCTCTAAATCGCTTTCCCGTTAGAGAATGCCTTCCCCCCCCCCCCCCCCCCCCCCCCAACCACCCACAAAAAAATCTTTTTAGCCAAGTTATCGGCTGCCCTATTCTTCTTTATTCTCTCTTGCTCTTCCACATTTGAAAATGCCCCACATCTAAAACCTGTCATCAGGGCATATTCCATCATCCCAAATCGTAGTGGCTTCCCTTCCACCATGAATCACATTTCATTTTTTTTTTCTTTTTTTTGGCTTTTAACTAAGTGCAGCAACATATAATGCACTCCCTACCCCCAAAATGCCTTTTGTCCAATTTTCTTCGATGTTCACAAAATGACCAAAATAACTCTCTTTGAATCGGTCCATACCCTTCTTCTGTTCCTGTAAAATCTCCATAATTATTGTAAAAACTTGCCAACTCGACCTAACTGTCACCCGTATGGGGAATTATGATACTTTATCGCCTATAACCTCTAACCCATAGTCTTTATAATTTACGCTTTGGAAAATTTACACAATCAATATAAACTAAATATCAGCAAAAAAAGAAACCAAAACAACCAATAGGCTACCAATTTAGGGAATATGGGCTTTGAGGGCATTGGGGAGTGGGTGTTTTTGGCCTCGAGAGGACTGGGGAAGCCAATGCAAGCCCTATAGAGGCTGTTGTGGCAGGTTCCATGAGATTGGAGGGCTGAGGATGGTAGGAGGTGGCGGAATAAGGGGGTTGGAAGGCTGCCCTGCATAGTGCGTGTCCAACCTTACAATATGCAGGGCAACCCTCCAGCCCCCCTATTCCACCACCTTTTGCCATCCCCAGCCCTCCAACCTCCCACAAACAACCTCCCTACGGCCTTCCTTGCCTTCCCCTATCCTGTGGAACGCAAACAAAGCCACTCCCCTAATGCCCGCCAATTGTTCGACAAAACGCCACAACCACTATAACAATAAAACCAACTACATATCCCCCAAATTTGCACAAATCAATCAAATTTCTCATCAAATTCAAAACAACAAGTAAAAAACGTACCCTTTCTTCACTTATGTCCTCCTCCTAGCTTGAATTCTTGCCGACGTCCTCCTCTTCAGAACCATTTTCTGATTCTTCTCTCTGTTCTTGTGCCACTGTTGTCTCTTTTACCTCTAGACTACCTTCACTCATCGGATGATCCACCGGAGCGTCTTCTTTGATAACCTTTGAACTAGCGCCACTACCGGAGTCTAGGATTTGGAATAGGGTTGGGTTTTCCTCCTCTTTGTTAATATCAGCCATGGTTTTGTGTAAGGAAACTTTAGGATCGAATATTTTCTAGAATAGGGCACTTTCATCGCCGGAAATGGCAGAGAAATCAAAGGTGTTCGTTGGTCCTTTTTTGGGTATTTGGCTCGATTAAGCGATTTTGAAGGGTGGGGGTTGTTTTTAATTTTCAAATTTTAAACAAACTTTCGTTAATTATAATATTACCCACATATGTTTAAATATTTTCACTTTAACCCGTTTTACATGTTTAATGAATCCTAAATGTACCACGTCAATTTTTCAAAATTAAAAAAAATTGCAAAATATTTTCAGGGTCATTTTTTTAAATGCAAACTTGGGAGGTCCAGGGAGTTAAATTCCTCCTTAAAGTATGGTGTACTATTCTTTCCTAGCAACATATTTAATCTGGTCTGCTATACAGACGTTGACTAGGCTTGCAATCCTTCGGATCTACCAATGGTTTTTGTGTTTATCTTGGTTCTAATCTGATTCAATGGAACTCCAAGAAGCAAAAAGTAGTGGCATTATCCTCCATTAAGGTAGAATACAGAGCCTTAACTCAAGGTTCTACTGAATTAGCCTGGTTTTGTAGCTTATTCTCTGAAATAGGACTGCTGCCAACAGAGGTACTTGTCATATGGTGTGATAACAAGAGTTCAGGGTCACTCACCTCAAATCTTGTCTTCCATGGTAGAACCAAACATATTGAGTTGGATGCTCACTATGTCAAAGAGTAGGTTACTTCTAATAAGCTTAAGTTAAGTTGTTTTGTAGGTTTGAGTTGCTTGACTTTGGTCACAAGGAAGTTCTGCTCTAAGTTATTATGAGCTGATATTTAGTCCAAAACAGTTCTGGTAGGAATTTATCTCTGGAAGTTCTAAAACATAGCATGAAAGTTATGGACTGCAATGAGCTGCTCTTTGCTCTAAGCTAATATGAGTTGATACTTAGTTCACTATAGCTCTGGTAGGAGTTTATGACTAGAAGTTCTAAACTGCATCATAGAAGTTATGAAATGCAGCAAAATTCTCTACAGTCTTTCCTTATAGTATTTTTTTGGAGTTTATGACTAGAAGTTCCTAACTACATCTGGGAAGCTATGAAATGTAGCAAAATTCTGTACAGTCTATCCTTAGAGTATGTTTCATTCTCCAGTGGTCTTAGAGTGTTATTGACAAGTGCTACTTAGAGTTTACTGTTTGGTTAAAGAGTTGTGGTACAGTGCTACTAAAAAGAGTTGCTATTATTACAGATTGCTGATTGAATTTTTTTAAGCTAAATTATGGAGGTTTAATTTAAGGGTGGATGTTAGGATATAAGAAAGAGTGTAATAGAGAAGTGGAGAAGTGTAGAGGTTTTGTTTAAGAAGTGATCTTAGGATATGAAGAAATTGACTTGTATTGACTTTTGATAGCTGACTTGTTAGCTGACGTGTTAGGGAGTTAGTTAAGTTTCTGTTATAACACACATGTATATAAACAATTATATCTCATCCTACATTCAGTTAAGCAATAACAAATTTTTGATTCATTTTTTGCTCTGTTTTTCTTCTTCTCTATCAGTGTTCTAAGTGCTTTGGTTAAAATGTCAGTTGGTTGTTCACTGGTATGAACAGAAGCTGATTTGATTAAGCCAGTCTTGATCTCTCTCGAACTAAATGACAATCAATGTTAATGTGTTTGGTGCATTCGTGGAACATAGGATTAGAAGCTATATGATTCGCCGATTGATTGTCATAGTAAAGAGAAATAGGAGTCAAAATAGGAAAACCAAGTTCAGAGAATAGCTTAACCAATCAAACAACTTCACAAATTGTTGAAGCCATAGCTCAATATTCAGCTTTAGAAGAATATCTAGACAACAAAACTTCCCGCTTTGATTTCTAGCAAAGAAGAGAATTGCCTAAAAACACACAGTAACCAGTAATAGACTTCCTGGTCATGAGGCATAAGGCCCAATTAGAGTCACTATAAGTTGTACGCTGTAGAGAGTTAGTGATAGGAAAGAACAAACCCAGGCTTGGAGCAGACTTGACATATCTAACAATCTTCAGAGCAACATTGAGATGAGATTTTTTAGGATTGTGCATAAACTAACTTAAAAGATTCATAGAATAAATCAAATCATGTCTAGTCATGCAAAGATACAAGAGCTTTCCAATGAGTTTTTGAAACACTATGGGATCAGTCAAAGGGGAATCATCAGGAATGGCAAATAACTCATCATAAGCTAGAGAAGTGTTAGGATATAAGAAAGAGTGTAATAGAGAAGTGGGGAAGTGTAGATGTTTTGTTTAAGAAGGGATGTTAGGATATGAAGAAATTGACTTGTATTAACTTTTGATAGCTAGCATGTTAGCTGACGTGTTAGGGAGTTAGTTAAGTTTCTGTTATAACAAACAATTTTTTGATTCATTTTTTGCTTTGTTTTTCTTCATCTCTATCAGTGTTCTTAGTTAGTATTAGAGCCATTGACAAACGTCAAGAATGGTTGATCTTTCTCAAAATCCTTCACCTTTTCACAAAACAAACAAGATTTCAAGCTCTAAATACACTCCAGATTCAAATAATTTTGTCAATTTTGCTACAATGACATCTTTAACACTGCCTATAATCTCACCTAAATTGATGAGGGACAACTACTGCTTCTGGAAATCATAGATCCTCTTTGTAGTTGGAGCTCACAATCTTGAAAAACACCTTATTGGATTAATACCATGTCCAGCTCCTTTCGTGAAAGCTCCATTAGACAGTGCACACTCAGAGGTAATTAAAAAACCAAATTCGAAATACATTCTTTGGAAGAAAACTGATAAAATGCTAGTTAGTTGGTTATTGTCATCAATTTTAGAATCTATGTTTGCTATGATCTCTAAATGTCAATTTGCCACTGATATTTGGCTTACCCTAGAGAAGGAATTCTTGACTAAATCTAGAGCCAAGACACTTCATGTTAAAAGCCTTTTACAAAACACAAAAAAGGATAACATGAGTATACATGATTACTTTCTAAAAATGAAGAGCTATGCTAAGAATTTATCATCAAGTGGAGTGGTGATTACTGATCCAGAGTTGTTGAATTATATCCTAGATGGTCTTGATTCAAAGTATGACGCTACTATTATTAATATAACAACTAGACTTGAATCTAAGGTTGATATGATATCTATCCAGGAAGCTCAGATTGTCTTACAAAAACTTGAACTTAGATTGGAAAAAGCACATACCGTAATGAACACCATGATTCATAATGAGTTTCATAGTAGTTCAGCTAATGTTCCTAGCATTTCAGTGGATAATGAGAACAAGAAACTGCAATCTGATCAGTCATCATAATTCCCTATAAATCAGTATAACAAAATGACCTCACCAATACCACAATTCTCTAGATTCAATCCTTCCTAAAAAGTAAACTTCACATGTAGATCCAAGGGAATAAGAGTAGGTTTAGAACCAAATAAGCCAGTGTCAGAGATCAATTCAAGAGTATACTTCCTTTGGGAAATATTAATTCCTTTCTTGGATCTGGCCACTTCTATCCCTAAAAAATATCTCAACAATCCCAAGTCTTTAATTTTAAAATGAGAATAAAGTAAGTGTTTGGTTTGATCAATCAAGGTTGAATCATTACCTCTCAAGACTATATCATCTACATAAACTAGGAGCATCACCACTTGAAACCCAGTTCTCTTAATGAAAAGAGAGTAATCTACCTTGGATTGATGAAAGCCACCAAAAACAAGGGCTGGGGTGAACCTAGAGTTCCAGGCTCAAGAAGCCTAATTTAAACCATAGAGAGATTTAAGTAATTTACAAACTAAATTATGTCTAGGTTGTTTGCAAAATCGTTGGGGTAGTGTCATGTAAATCTTTTCATCGAGATCACCTTGTAAAATGCATTATCCACATCCATATGGTAAAGTGGCCAATCATGCATGGATGCTAAAGATAAAATGGTTCTAACAATAACCATTTTTACCACAGGGGAGAATGTTTCTTCATAGTCTATCCCAGCCTGGTGTGTATACCCTTTTGCCACTAAACAAGCCTTATATCTCTCTAGGGAACCATTTGCTCTATGCTTCAATTTGTACACCCATTTACAGCCTATAGAATTCTTTCCAAAAGGCAAACTAACCAAAGACTAGGTAGTGTTATTTTCTAAGGCTTGAATCTCCTTTTTCATGGCTTCAACCCAATTTGGATCTTTAGAAGTTTGGTGAAAACTAGCAGGCTCAGTAAGAGAAGAAATCTTAGTGAGACAAGCTTTATATTTAGTGAAAAGGTGAGTATAGGATAATGAATCAGAAATTGGATATTTGACATCGATATCTATTGGTTTAGGTGAATTGGTTGGACATATAAAATCAAATGTCCAAATTGGAGGTTTAGATGTTCGGGCAAATTTTCTAATAGGTCCAGAAGGTAAATCAGGAGTTAATTCATTTGGTAATGATGATGATGTAGGCTCAAGGGAGGAAGCAATACCTAGTTCTACAAGTGGATCAGATGGTATTCCTCTTTTTTGAACAGAATGAGATGTAATGCATGAGGGATCAGGTAATGGTTCTAAATCCAAAAATGAGTAAGGGGAAAACATGTGTTTAGAGGACGAAGACCAAGTAAAAGGGAAAATGTGTTCATATATAAAAAATAACATCTCTTGTAACCCGAATATTTTGTGATTGCAAGTCATACAATAAATACCCCTTTTGTGTTAAACAGTGTCCTATAAAAACACAAGGTGTAGATTTAGGAGAAAATTTGTCTTTGCAAGAGAGAACAGTAGAGTAAGCCAAGAAGCCAAAAACCTTAAGATGATCTAAGTTGGGTGGTTTGCCAAAACTTTTTTCAAAAGGTGAAATACCAGCAAGAAAAATTGTTAGAAACCTATTAATTAGGTACACTACAGTCTTAATACAATAGCCCTAGAAGGCATTTTGAATATTAGATTGAATTGTCAAGGCTCTTGCTTCCTCTAAAATGTGCCTATGCTTCCTCTCAACAACACCATTCTGTTGAGGAGTATAGGCATATGAGCTTTGATGAATAATACCCTGACTTTGTAGTAACTCATGACAATTTTTATTAAAAAACTCTAACCCGTTATCAATTCTAATGCATTTTGGAGTAATATGAAACTAATTTTGAACCATTAACAAGAAGTGTTTAATGGTTTGAAAAACATCAGTTTTACCATTGCATGAGAAACGTCCAAGTAACCCCAGAGTAGTCTTCTACACTGGTAAGAAAGAAACGTGCATTGCCAAGAGTTGATACCTTGTAGGGGCCCCAAACATCAATGTGCAAAAGATATTGTTAGTAGTAGTATGACTGAAAGGAAATGGAATCCTAGTTTGTTTGGCTAATGGACAAACTTTACAATGAGATGAGTTTGTAACATGCTAGTCATTAATCATGAGTTTCAATACTGAGTTGGGTACATGACCCAACCTTTGATGCCAAATGTCAGGATTTTTACATGATAAACAACATGCAAAAGAAAGAAAACAAAACTTTTTATTTAGTTTTCAAGTAGAATGCACAACTGAAGTAAAACAATCTTTATTACAAACTGTTTTAGCTACCATATCAAGATTAGAAACATTTGGACTTATTTTCAAAAATGGTACAAAATAGTAAAGGCCCTGGCTTTTTCTACCAATCCCCTTCAACTTGCTACTCCAGAGATCCTGGATTAAGCAAAAATCAATATAGAAAGTAATTGAGAAATTGTTGGAAGAAGTAAATTTGGATATTGAAAACAGGTTATATTTAAAATTCGGCAAATGAAGAACATTATGCAAATGAATACTTACATCTAGATTGACAGAACTAGTATGCTTTGTAATATCTCACTAAGTAAGTATTCACTGAGTATCTTATAGAGAAAATCTAGAGAATTGCTAGCTTAAAAAAAAGTGTTCCTCTAAAATTTTTATCCTTAATCCAGTTATAACATACTCTTACACAATGACTATTTCTCACATATATCAATCCGCATTAAAATTCTTCACTGAGACAATGTGTGTAATCTTCTCGCTAGCTTGACGTCTCCTGACCACTACAATCTAATACCTGCAAAATAAAGAAAGCAACGAGGTGAGTTATAAATGCTCAATAAGTAAACCAAATCTAACTATGCTCTTACTCCATTGTCCCCGTTTTCACTGTACTATTTCTAATTTTCTGCTTGCTTTCTCTCTTTATTCTCAAGCGTACTACTTAGCAGTCTTCTATTTTCCTCAAATATTTCTAAATCCTTCTAGTGATGTGCTATTCTTTATCATTTTATTTCTCTTCTCTACTAGATTATAACTTTCTGTTTCTTTCTCTACTCAACAAATCGCTAAGTTTTCTTGCTATTTGTCATGTTTCTAATTTCTGTTCTTTTCTAGCATGTATCTAATTTCTGTCCTTTTCTTGTATATCTCTAATTTCTTTTCTATTCTCATAGGCTCTATTTTCTTTTCTTCTCTATTTTCATGGGCTTCTATTTTCTTTTCTTCACTATTCTCATAGGCTTATATTTTCTTTTCTTCTCTATTCTCATAGGTTTCTATTTTCTTTTCTTGACTAGGCAGACACGCAATAATAAAATAAACTGTTTAATCTATGCATAAATGCATAAGATGCAATGCACATAAAATGTCTGCTGCATATGCAAATGATCATTTTTTTATTCTTTCTGAAAATTCTTTTCTAATTCTTTTCCTTTCTTTCTGAAATTCTTTCTGTTTTCTATTTCTTATTCTATTTTTCTTTCTTTCTAAAATTCTTTCTGTATTCTATTTCTTATTCTATTTTCTTTGTTCCTGAAATTCTTTTTGTATTCTATTTTGGTTTGCCGATCGGACTAAGCTGAGGCATGGATTTGGAACCTTGGTCATGTGAGCGTATTTTGAAATTCTTTCTGGGCACAATCCTCATCCACGTGCACTTCTAGTGAATTGTACAATTCTATTTTCTATTCTGAGGCCACTCACTGATGGCGGCGTGCATGTGGGAAACTTCTGCATCTCTATCGCCACTAGCTAACGCAATGAATGCTCACAGGTTCCCCATCGCAACAGCCCTCTAAAAGTATACTCTGTAAATCTGCAAAATAACTAGCTAGACATTTCTAATAATTATAAAATTTCTTAAATATATGCTATGCTATGTCATGCATTTACATGCCTTCTATGCATGATCCCAAAATATGTGTCTGACTCTGGCATGTATTCTATTAATTCTAAGGCTTTTATTTCTATACTTTTCTGGAAAGCCCAAAGTTCTATTCTACTAACATGCTTAAATTAAACATTTTCTATTTTATTTTTTATTTCTGAATTCTATGCATCGTGTATACGTATGCGATTCTATAATTTCTACATAATTCTGTAATTCTTCAATTCTATCATCCTATGTAAAATGTACACGTACAAAAGTACATTAACTCTCACAAATTCTACTCTCTAATATTTTCTAATGTAACAAACATGCCTTGTACAACTTTCTAGATACAAATCTTAATGCCATAAATTTTCATTCTCTTAACATGACCATCAACATTGTTATACATGCCCTTCTTTCTTCTTTTCTTTTGACTACATTCTATACATTAATATATATTGCCATATTAATCATTGTAAATCCAATCTAACACATGGCACAACATATATACTTTGGCTAAATTCTAATTTCTTTCTAACATTCTTAACTAAACTTTTGGTCAATACAACATATTCTCAAGATCTTCTAGCACAATTCTATAGCATGTAATATATAATAAGGCATGAAAACTATACTCATACCAATCAATTTCTAAAATGGTCATGTATTTAATACATAAACTAAGCTTCTATTTCTTTGATATTTATACTTGGGAAAGCTTTTCTATTCTTTATACAATAAAATCACTTATTACATATTATTTCTAACTAATCTCAAAACAAGAAACAAGAATATACTCATTTGGCCAAGCCATTCTTTGAATGGTCTTTCTAATTTCAAACATACAAGCTTGACAATTTATGGTGGCATATTGTAATATTATAATATAATCACCCATCTTTTACTATCATCAAATACGACACTATATTAACAATTTAATATTCAATTCTTGCCATCATTTTTCTAAAGTCATAAGTTTCAAAACTCATAATTCAATGACTAAATACAATATGCCATTCAAACTAATGCTAAAAGTTCAAGCAACTTGAACCATGCACTAAAAGCCATTCCTTTCATTAAACTAACATAACCAAGTGTTATTCTAAATTTTGGCATAACAAAATGCACTCTTGAATACTAAAACTTACACTTAGTTAAGCCTAACATAACCTTTCAACTCC